AGTCGATTTCTTGGTGTTATTTGAATATTTCGAGTTTGTCCAAACTATCATCAAAATATCAACTTTTCATGAATTGAGAGTACTGATGTACTTAATTTCAATTAAGGCTATTTTTTGGACCATATTTAGCACAATTTATTTTTTATCTCGAAAACAGATAGAGATAGGTATAGGACATCATCGACAAAAAAGTAATAAAATACTAGAGCGATTCCAAAAATGTATTAATATACGAGGTGTTCTATTTAAAAAAATATAATTGCAAGGACTTTTTGATAGAAATGGCAACGCCGCAATGCTGAAAAGATTTTAGATCAATAGAACAGATGAGTAAATGTGAGAGGTGAAATTTTCAGGAAAATCATGCTTTGCGTTTTCCAGAAACGTCTAACCTACCATCGACCGTGAGTCACCCTGTATAAACTTGAGAATATTCAATTAAATATTCACTTAGCGACCAAGATACTCACATAAATACAACACTAGAATCTTTCGAGAAAATGTAATGAAGATATTTCACAGACATGTCAAATATGGTAACGCGGTAGCTAATTTGAAATATTCCCAGAAGCATTGGATATTCAACAAGCTTACAGCTACTTCATCTCGTAGACAAGGATGAGAAAGTCTATAACAGAGGTCATTGCATAATTGATGACTTGCTCAGAGTAGTGTAATAGACTCGGGAGGAGCTTTACTTACTCGACGTGAAGACTAGAGAAATGCTTCATCTAGAGAATGTGCATTCTAAATCATCCTTTCGACGATTGTACTACCCTCGATAACAGGAAGACCATGGAATTTTAGTTTGTAGACAAAACGGTACTCGATGAAGTCGGTAAAGTCATTAGTAGTTCGTATTCCTTCATCTGTATGGCCCTCGACCATAAGTAGCATATAAACTTGATTTAGATTTCGACACTGAACATAGTGATCATGACTCTGTGACCGAATTGATACCCCTTTAGTAACAGGCCCACATGGAAGCCGCACAGAACACTGCACTCCTGCGGCAACACAAGGATGAGCCGATGTGTATATGGTCTTCTTTAACAATTCAATTCAGGTATGAGACAAATACATATTCGTCTATGATAGAAGAACATTTTTATTATATAGATACATTTAGATTGAAGATCACATACTCCTAGGAGAAATAATGGAAGTTAAGGCTAATTAAGCAAGATTGTATTGTAGCCAATAACTTATAATTTTTTAACTATGCGTGAGCCTGCATCGTGAAAAATTCATGGATTCAACTGAACTGTTACTAGTATTGAAAGCATGCTGTACAAATGTAATTGAGAAATTATCAGTCCATGAATAACTCTGAAAAATGTGAATTTTTTCAGCTCCAAATAATGCAATTCCATCATATAATGACTGACCGCGGCCTTTTCCCGGCAACAAAGAAGCCGTGGACTCAATTTGGAGTGTCTACATGAAAAATTTTCTGAATATCGTTGCAAGCACATAGTTAACAGTATCATTATACACTACATTCAAAAAAAAAACAGTGTAAACCGTTTCTAGGATTGTAAGGAGGAACTAAAGTGACATAAAAGAGAACTCACCCCCATTAACCCCCTAGGCCCCACCCACCAAAACGTTAAATTGCAAACCTCTACTTGTGACACATCATTGAAAATACTATAAAAATGCTATCCAATTGTATAAATAATAATTGTACAGGGTGAAGCAATGATTGTGAAACTTTGGCTTGAATGGAATATTTAATGAGGTTTTTGTAACTACAAATTTATTAAAAATGTCAATTAGGTAAATGATCAAAGTGGGTTCCGTTGTTTTGTAAACAATAATACAGCCTATTGTCAAAGTCTGCACGAACTTTAATATCAGCCGGCTTTTTATTTGTAATGCTACCTCCCGGACTATTATTTTAAATGATCCATACGTCGATACTTTTTTTGTTAAATAAAAACTTAATTTGCCGTTTTTGCAAAACGAGTTGGAAAGATCTGTTTTTTGGATTCTGTCAGAGTCAATAATTTTTGGTTTGTTTGAGACTTTTAAATGTCATTAGTTTTCATCATTTGTACATCAAGTATCAAACCGTCAAATAACTGCAGTGACAGGACTTTTACATGAGTCGGTTAGAAAGGTGTTAAAATTACATTAGTTTCACCCGTACAAAACACAAATTCTTCAAGAACTAGGCGATGATGATTCAGACCGTTTTGTGAACTCATAACTGAAAGAATTTGCGTTGAACCGAGAAAGTTAAAAAATATTTGTTTCAGTGATGAATCTACTTTTTGCTGAATGGTAATGTAAATAAACAGAACTGTCGGTACGGGAGTGATGCGAACCCACATCGATTCAGAGAAGGACACACTCAATATCCTGAAAAACTTGAATGTTTGGGCAGGAATATTAGGCGATGCTTTAATTGGTCCCTTGTTCATACCAGGCAGACATTCATCTCGATATGCTGGAAAACACCATCGAACCTTTAATTGCGCATGAATTAGAGAACCAAAGGGACGACCAAGGCAACCTAGCTATAGACGAAGATTTGCTGCACTTGCAACAAGATGGAGCACCTCCTCACTATGCAGCTCTAGTTAGTCACTGGTTGGATACTAATTATCCGAACAAATGGTTTGGAAGGAGAAGTTCCATTGAATGGCCACCGTGGTCACCAGACTTGGCGCTACCTGACTTTTTTCTGAGGGGTCACCTCGAGTCAGTTGTTTATAAAACTCAGCCTGCGTCATTTGGGGAATTGCGAGAAGGAATTACGCAAATACGTCGAGCCATTACTAGAACAACATTTGCCAAAGTTCGTGCAGAATTTGAAAATAGGCTGTATTATTATTCACAAAACAACAGAACCCACTTTGAACATTTACTTTATTCATTGAACGTCTGATGAAAACCTGTTCGGAAATCCTTACAAAAACATTTTAGAAATGAATACAAAAAAGTTGCTACTTTGTTGATATGGGTTAGTATATGACGAAGAAAACATCTAGTCACTATTCAATTTCATTTACCTTCTAGATCTAGATGATAGTATTTAAGTGCTATGGGGCTCGTTATGAAAATTATTCGAAATCACAACTTGGTTATTATTATAAGATATTTTTTCAAACATATATCTTGGGGATCACTGAAATATTTAGAACGGATATATACATTCAGAGGGATGAAGAAGTAGAATAAAATATAATTACTCACTATGTATGGATAGTCTTTTATATCTGCCGGTTCGCCCCCAATGATTCTCAAATTTGAAGCAGCTGAAAAATAAAACGATTTCAGTGCCAATCCTTGATATCACACAAATGATGTGTTTGAAATGAAAAGCTGGAAAAAGATCTTACTGTTAACTGAAACAAATGAGATCAAGACAATACAACCTAGTTTGAAGTACATTTTGATGAAAATGATTTGTGATTGATTGGCGATTGGGTTAATATTACCAAAATATTATCAGTGAAGTTATTTTATCTCAAATTTCAAACTGATAAACATTCATGTCATATAGAAATGATAAGACAAATATCATAAGAAATTATTTTGAGTTTTCAAGATAGGATCTTGAATGGAAACAATTTGAAAAACAACTACGACTTACATCTTCAATTCGTATATCCGTTGAATCACGATTTATATTTGTTTGAGAGTATAGAATCCGAATGAGTTTCTAAAAGAGTTTGAGCCGCTACTCTGAAACGAAAAACGGTTATTCATCGCCTAATGTATAGATTTCGGGAAGCTTTCGTTACTTAAGCATGACCATTTCATCTGTGCTGTCTACTAATAGTTTCATGTATGAAAAAAGTATGCCCGTTGAATTAACTTTTGGAATTTGTCTCCAGTTCAATATGATCATTAGTGGGCGTGGCTTCGTTTCTCTCAGTTGGATTCAATGATTCTGTTTCTGTACAGTTAAGGGCAGGTAGCCAGATTTCATTAATGTTGATTGCCTCTTGTCTCGATTGAAATTTTCCCTGTGTTTCCGAATCTCTATTGCCTCCCTATATAGTCTTGGGTTGTAATCCTGAGTTTTATTGAGTATTTGGGTATCTACTGATGTGATAATGTGAGTGTTTTCTTTGAGAGCATGTTCAGCTCAGCTGATTTGTTAGTTTGCCCGAAACGACAATTCATTTTGTGTTGCTGACTGTCTCTGATAGTTTTCGTTACCATAAATATTTCATGTGAATTTTGACGTGAGAGAGAAAATCGTTCAGTATCTCTTCACTTTCCCGTTATTCTACGAACTCTACTCAACACAGCCAACAATATAGTTTCACGGCCGCTCTGAGGCTCGTCATCCAAAATTATTCATTGAAAAGTTCGCCACCACCGCATCTAATGGACTACCTATTACCGTACCATCCGTTTGTTCTTAAAAAATACCATTCCACTGGAAATACGTTGATGATGAACCGGTTAGTGAACCAGATTCAAATACTTGTAGTTTCTGTGTGGAGAACAACTCGAGACCGTTAACTTACCGCAACTGATAATTTTTTCATAACCTACACCTTATAATTTGATCTCCACAAGCTTTATTTTTGAAAAATATCACGAAATGTTTCACTAATACAGTAGCTTTTTCGTAGTTAATTATGTACTGAAAGTTCATTCTCACTCTGATATTTACACAGGGTGTTAATTTGAAAACTTCCCACGCTTAATATATTTTTTCCAGTAAATGATATATGGAAAGTAGGAGATTTGAGCCGGTTCTAAGCCTCTCCCCCACCGCTATGACGTCATGTGGGGTGAATGATCTGAACCGACTCAACCTTAAAAAATATGTCTGGTACATGCGACCTTGAAAAATATGTCTGGTGCATGCGATCTTGAAAAATATGTCTGGTGTATATGACCCTGAAAAATATGTCTGGTGCATAGGTACCATGTGTACCGCACCCAAAAATCCCCCCTATCCACCACACTTCCCCCAAACTTCCTTTCACCCCCACACTCTCCCCCATCCCCACACACTTTCCCCACACTTCCCTCATCCCACCACGTTTCCCCCACACTTCCCCACTCTTCTTTCCGACCCCATACCCCCACAATAGTATGACGTCTATGCAAACTAGTTTACATAGTGTACATACACCCAACCCGAGCACAACACACCTGCGCAACACAAACTTCAAGACACGAATGCCCGCACTGGTACAAACTAGTTTGCATAGAGTACATACACCATCCAACCCGAGAACAACACATCTTCACTCCGCAAAGTTCGGGACACGAATGCCCGCACTGCTGTCACCTTAACGCATCGGTAGTGGGGTCGTCTGTGACGCCACCTCTCGAGAGATAGTACACGCGTCCAATACAACCTACCCAACCCGAGCACACACATCTTCACTGCACAAAGTTCGAGACACGAATGCCTGCACAACTTTCACCTTAACGCATCGTTAAATATAGTGTTTTTTGCATTCAATATCTAATTCATTGATTCCGGGACCGTTGCGAGCTAAACGTTGTTTCGATTTTGTACCCGGTCCACAGTATTGATAACCTTCGGATATATGTAATTCGATAGGAAGTTTGTTTATTAAATCATTAACCAAACCACAATATCTTTTAATTTTATGATCATTTTCAATACGTCCGTATCGTTTGATGGTACACCTTAAAATGAATGAGCTAATAACATTTATATAGTCTCCAACCACGGCACGATGCGCATTGTAAAACAGGAAGAAAAGTTTGCTATAGATAATCTAGATGAGAAATTTGGGTGTGGATTGAATGAGCAAAGATTATTCAGACATGGTCCACTACTTCCATCATCAGTTCGAGGACTTATTATAGGACCTTCAAATTGTGGAAAGACGAATGCAATGATATCGCTATTAACACATCCACAAGGACTGAGATTTAGAAATGTGTATCTCTACTCGAAATCACTTAATCAACCTTAATATCAGTACTTGCGAATTCTTTGAAAGGATTAGGTTTTTATACATTCAGCAATAATGCAGAAATAGTGGAACCCTCCGATGCTAAGCCTGATTCTGTTTTCATTTTCGATGATATGATATGTGAAAATCAGGATGGTATTAGATCATATTTCTGTATGGGACGTCATAAGGATTCGATAGTTTTATATATCCGTGATCCCGTTATTCGAATTCATTCGATCTTTGAATATTGTAAAGGTCACTTTAAAGGTGAAGGTAAAGGTCATTTAAAAAAGACAATATGAATACAAAACATGATTCTGAAAATAAAAACAATGAAATGAATTTGAAACGTCAGCTAGTTGAGACAACAGAAACTGTCAGGCAGAAATTCAACTCTATCAAGAATGATAATATCAAAAATCGTACGACACTCGAAAAATTGTATGAGCCCATAACGAAACCATTAACTCATTCAGCAGCGTGTTGCATGATATGTATACTGAATTGGAGAATGAAGTTGCATTATCATACTACGACGATGAACGATTTATCATTCTGAATATTACCCACACTCTTCCTTGGGTTCATAATGATATTGAATTTTATCAAAACGATCCGAATGATAACATTCGTTGAATAAATAATATTATTCAACAATCATATCCTCAAGAGAGTCCACTGGATGAACTAATTAATTTACTGTCTGCCGAGTTCAATGACTGAAGTACCATTTAATGTCGTTAAAACCAGAAAATTCAATATTGATGTTCATGTAGGTATTTATGAATGAATAATAATGTGTAGCAAACTGAAATATGATATTAGTATATTGTGTACGTATATGTATTACTTTTACAGAATTACTTTGATGAATATGAAAATGATAAAAAAAAATTCATTTGTTTCATATATATTTTCCTAACCAATCACTTCAAAGTATACAGGGCTTTTGATGATGAGCGATATTCAGCCGTTTCTGACAAACTATTCAACGGATCAACCTGAAAATTCCACAGTATGCATAAATCGATATGACCTACACGCCTGAAATATTTCAGATGAAGCGGCGTTGTCGCTTCTACTATAAAGTAGCGGCTTCTTTGATTTGTCGAATGAAACACCCCGTATATAATATCATATTATGATCCATTATCACTTTGTCAACAAATTCATATACTATTT